CTAAGCCCATTGTTCCTCACTTCCTTTCTCATATAATAATTCTGACTTCCATGACCTTTCTGTCTGCTCCTCCAACATGGGCTTAGAGCACCTACCACAGAAACAAAGCTGAATCCCAATGATTATTGGTCCTCATTCCTTTCACCCTAGATGGAGCTGTATTTTCCTTTCACTCCATTTCCGTTTAGACTTTCTTTTCCAATTCCTTTAAACTGTCTGTCTCAGCTGCCTGGTTTGCAAAGGCTTCTTGTGCTATGTTGCTGTGTTTTTCTCACACCCCTCTGAAAGCCACAGGGTCAAAACAATGCTTCTAATCTCATTTGAAATCCCTTGTGTACTTTGTTTAGTTATGGTTTTGTGCCAGTTTTCTTGACAGATTTTGCTTTTAAATTGGGGTTGCAGTTTCTTCTCAGGGGTTGAAGTTCTGACTTCATAGAAATCAATAAAAAGCTTCCATTACCTTCAGTCAGGCCAGTAGTTTGTTCAGAGTCCCAAAAGAAAGATTGTTACTGCTTGTGTTCCCACATCTCCATAATATTTTTGTAGTCTGTATTGATACTTAAAAATCGGATGAGGTAAAATTTCTTTTAGAATGATGTGTTTGATTATTTATTTATTTATTTATTTGCTTTGATGGAATGAATCACAATGAATTTTTCCTTAGGTTTGAATAGTACCTTTGTGTGTTTTTTTTGCCATTCTGCCATCCCTGTGGATGCTGAATGTGTTCTGAACCCCTCTGAAGCTAGTGAAAGCACTTTCTCTGGACTTGGTGAACTTGTATCAAAAACACAAGCGTTTTCATACTGTGAAGTCAGAGGGAAGTTAGAAAGGTTACCTGTGGATTAAAATACTTCTCGCTGCAAGAGACAGGGAATCCTCCCTTTGTTCTATGCTTCTTATTGTCCTGTTTGTGGAAATGCCTGCTTTATGAGGATTTAACGGTGCACTGCCTGCTTGTGCTTTAGGATATGCTTGTGCCCTCAGAATCTTAATGTTTGCACTGATGTCACACAAATACGTATCTTTCAGCTGTTTGTAAATTAGCAGAAACTGTTAAAAGCCCACATACATTCAAGGATTATTAAAAAACATGTTATGCTTTAGTCTTCATTTACTGCATTGTGATGTACTGCATTTTAGATTAATAATTCTATACAGACTATGTAGATTACAGTCAAGCTTAGGTCTGTGCCTGAGCTGTGCAGAGAGGTGATGTTCAAAGTGCAGGCAGGGGTGGGAAACAGAGGTGGGATCCAGCTCTGTATTTTTTTCCATACATTGTACAATTTTTATTTTGGACACTTATGTAGAAATTGTACTGTGGAAAATCTGTATCACCATGTGAGATTTCCCTGCAAAACAGACAAGAACAGGTAAGGAATTAAAAAGTAATAATAACTAAAACAAATATACAGCTATTCAGTGGGACTGTTCTTTTGTAACAGGAAACTTTTTCATAACCAGAGCTTTGTATGAGACACCAGGCACTCAAACTTGAATTTGTTGCACTAACTGTGCCCAGGGGGTTTGCTGACCAGTTAGGAGGATCAACAGAAGAAACAATAAAGCATTTTTATTAGCCTTGAAGTCAGACCAGTGGGAATTTTTCAGAGAAGGGCCTACCCTAGATCTTTTTCATAAGCTAGCTTTCTCCAAACTATCTGATAGCAAGAGAAATAAAAACACTCAAAGCAAGAGGGGAAAAAAGAGAAACCTACCATTTGTTAATTATGTAGTCTGATGTTTTGGAAATGTCAAACTCTGGCAGCTCCACACCATTTTTTGTCAACTATTTGAGTATAAATGGTTGCAGACATGTTGTCTCTGTCATGAAATTTTAAGAGCAGAATGAAGTTTGTAGGCAGTGAGAACTGTACTGCCACTTGGACCTGAACTGTGTTTCGTCAAAGACTTGCAGCCTCATCACCCATTGTCATGGCAGTTGCGTTCTGAGGTCTTGTTGAAACAAAGGCACCATGCAAATGTACATCAAGAGATGTTTCAGCTGGAGAAATCCATTCAGTCATTACTTCCATATGATGTTCTCGGCAGTAGTGCTGTACCTGTCACATCAAACAACTTTTTCTGTTTCTCCTACTGTCCAGGAACACCTGAGCAATGGAGTTATGGGATGCCTGCCCTTACCTTAGCTTGCTGCCCACTGGGTGAAGCCATAGATATTTTAATCAGACAAAAATAAAGATCAGTGATCTCAAGCAGTGGTGCAATTGGCTGCTAGGTAATAGTACTTCTAGAAATGAGGCCTTCTGAGCTAGGCCTTTTTCCCACCCTTACATCCTTCTTTGACCTAGATCATAATTGCTGTAAAAGTTAAAGGCCCAAGCACTTGATATCAATGGGAAATGGGATACAAAACAAAACAAAACAAAAAAAGATTTGATTTAATACTGCATCTAATGTGCACTGAATGTAATGACTCTCTCTCTGAACTGCTGAGTGTAGGCTTTCTATATAGATGTAGTAGCTGAAGCAGAAATGGGTTTCTAAAATAGGCTTCCTAAGCAATGTCACCTGATTTTCAGTGGTGTCTTAGTGCTCTTGAACTCAAAAGAATTGAAGGTGCTCACTTTTTACAACCAAAACAAACAAAAAAAGTAAGATTTTCTCAGATGCTTAAAAGTAGGATCAGTGGGTTCAATGACACTTCTTGCAGCTATTGACTTGCTTGAATTCTGAGTTATTTTTTTTTTCCTGTATCAGAGTCTTATAGGCATCTCTTCATAATTTTTTGACTTAATTTTGGAGATGACCATCAGGATCTCATAGAAATGAAGTTAATCTAACAGTATGCCACTATTCTCACCAATGTCTTTGCACAGTTAAAATAGACTAAATTATTTCTTACTAAATATGCTAGTCAGAAACTTGAAATACCACAGCACTGATGAACTGGTGACAGGTAGGGCCAGCTTATGTTTTTGCTTGTGATTACCAATCATTGGTTTCTTTATTGTTAAGGTCACCAGAAAGCCATGGAAAACTTTATCCCCAAATGACGAGATTACTGGCATTTTGTTCTATTTCTTGAAGAAAAAATGTAAAAAACGTGAAGAACTTGGAGAGTCTCTGCCCTTAAATCTCTTTACAAGAAACTATTTTTTATTATTAGATACTGGACCAAGCTGCTCTGCAATTTTTCCACTGCTATTAACCAGTAAATAACTTCCAGCTTGTATTAACCCTTTTCAGTCATGACAAGCAAAACTGTTTTGTAGCTGCTGGACATAATGAGAGAAACAGATGAGCTGAGAATTTGAGGCAGGGTCTGAAGCTGAGCTCTCTCATGTTGGGACTGTTTATGAACTCCACTAAAATTCTCATTGCTGACTCCCTTTGAGAGCTGAAATATTTTTATCAAGTAGAACATGTTGGGAAATGCATCTGTGATGATGATGGATTTGATCTTGTGCCTGCTGAAGTAAATGACAGCATTCCTGTTAGCCTTTGGGAAAGGGCTATACTCAGCAAAGATTGTCCCAGAAATACATTAGTATCCATTTGATAGGTCCAAACTGGATATCTATAGCACAATATGGAATTCCTAAATATCCCTGTCCAAAGACAGCAAGACCTCAGAGATGACTGCGGCCTGTAGGATGCTATCTAACCCAAATGGTAATATGATTAAAAATATTAATACAAGTTATGGAGGAAAGCAGCTCTTTTTGAGCAATTCTTGAGAGGGAAGTTCTCTAGTCCTTCATGCTGCTTCTGGAATGTCCATGTAATGCCAAGATTGTGTCCCAGTCCTGACTCCCAAATCCTCTGCCATGGGTTTATTACACAGCAGGGCTCTTTGGGTGAGAATTTCCTGGTGCTTTTATGGATGCTAAAGATGTGGAAATAATGTGTGATAATTTAGAATATAAAGGGAGTATTCTGCCGAGATACCCTGTTCAAGAAATCCTATGTACCTTCCAGGCTATAGCTGATCTTTATTTTCAGTGCTCCATCATGAGCATATGAATCTGAGGAGTGGCCCTATTATAGAGATGGGTGGGGACTTCCCTTTAAGGGGTGCTTTTTTATCTGTTTTTCTTTTTTTTTTTCTATACAGAACCTAAAGCATGTGTGCTATGAAACTTTGAGATATGTTGTTGCATGTGGATTTTCAGTGAATCCTCTTAAATGTTGTGCTGCTCTGATAAGAGTTCTTACTCTTCTCTGCACTGATGTCATATGCTATATGAGGAAAGTTTCATACTTTACTCTCACTTTGTCGCAAGAGAGGAAAAGTAGTTACTATGACCATTTAAAAATTCTTCTGCTGAAAAGATTCCCAGGTATTATTGCATTTTATTTATGGGAATTAAGGCTCAGAGGCACTGGTCTATAAAGTTCATTAGGTGTTTAAAATATATTTGAGCTTCTTGGCCAGAGAAAATTAACAGTTGGCAGGAGGTCACACAGGAACCTTTTGGTAGAGCTGAAAATTGGTTCCAGGCTCCCTATGGTCCCTGGAGAAGGATTCTGGCTTTTCTTCCTTCGCTTTCTCTTGTGGGTATTGTACAAAGTTCTCCAATTTAGCATTGACTAAAGCCACCAAAGTCTAGCCATTGGCTTGGAAAAAAAAAAAAAAAAAGTCTTGTGTATGAGTAGCTGTATTATCACAAAAGCTGTCTGAACTGTAGCTAATTACCTTGGCCAGAAAGGTGGCCCTTTAGAGCTAGTTTTAGTTAGTTTTTATCCTTCAGGTTGTAAGTGTTCTTAGTGTAATTTCTTTTGCTTTCTGTTGCAACCAAACTACCTGAGGTGCACTTTTCTTTTTTTTTCCCCTACTAGATGCGTCAGCTTTTTATCTCCACCACAGGTAAAGAATTGAGGCCCCTTTAGACTGTCTTCAGTGGCTCTGAAAGTCATTCTCCTCCTATGCTGTCCCAACCCTCAAAAATAATAAAGATATACAAAATAGCTAATCTGTGCTGGAAATTGTTAGTAAAAATAAATATTGTTATTTTTATTGTTTTATATTTCAGGTCTCTACAGCTAGCAGGAAGACTGCTATGATTTCAGCTGCGATATTTGATGGATAAATCCCTTATCCCATCTGCTTGCTTAATCCAGGATTCTGAAGCGCATTTACAGATCAGAAAAGGTAAGTGTAAGGTTCTTTGTATTTTCATTTGGCTTTTAACTTGGCTGTGCTGCTAATAAGAATGAGTCTGCAAGGTTTGGGGGGCCCAGTTAGACTCGTGGGTCTCTAAAATGGATGTTGTTGTTTGATGCTGCTGAGCCTAGTACACCAGAACAGATCTCATTACAGGTTTGGGGCCCAGGTCACGAGAGAAAACAACAGATGGATGAAACGCACATAAAGAGAAGGGAAGATAAAAGGAGTAGAACTGGGAAAAGTTTAGGCTAGTCAAAGGAGTGAGGGCTTAGTGGCTATCTAGTCCGGTTCCAATGGGAAGTTTTGTATTTCTGTCCTCCGTGGAGGCAGACAAAGGAATAAAGAGGGATGGGGGCAGAAACTATCCTAGACAGAAAACTCTGCTAACTTGGTCCTAACTCTGAATGTGTGCGTAGCCTAGAACTGTGCGTATGATGTGATCATTTTGTCTCTGATAAGATAGGTATTTCTGCATCCAAATCATAAAACTAAGAGTATTTCGTATTTTAAAACTAAGCTAGAAGACATATAATGCTGGCAAGCTACTCTGTATGTCACAGTCTTTTCCTGATGACTTTGCAAATCTTCAAATTAATGATTCATTTTATTCATAAAAAGAAAAAAAAAAAAGATTGAAGGTTTTGTCATAGTACTTCATTACATATAGATATCTATTCAAAATGGGGAGAAGGAAGGGAGGGATGGGGATGGGCTATTAAGGGTTGTATTTAGCTTTAAAGCCTCAAGTTTAAAATAATCTTTTTGCATTCAACTGTGGAAACAGTGTCAGAATCCGCAGGGGGCTGTTGTGTTTGAACAAGGCTGTTCAATTTGTTTTTGGTTAAGCATAATTAATTTATTGCAAGACATGCAAGTATGGGGATTATCATCTGATTCCTGGGAGGGTGTGTGTTTTGTTTTGTGTTGTTGTTTCTTTCTGTCTCAGTTTAAATTTATCTCAATCACCCAATTTTTGACAAGCAAAAAGGATTGCGTTTGGGGTACATCTTAGAATGTGTTGTTTATCTTGACCAAAAGCATAGAAAAAGAAGCAATCTTGATAGATTTCTATCATGAAAATGAAACAATCAACACGCAGAAATATGAGGAAGAAATTACACCCATTAAATACATCTAGACTGATGAATGATATGATGGCTGCCTATTCAAGTTGGAAATTTTACACATGATTGAAGCTTTATTTAGTCTAATGAAATGTGCTTCCTGAATGCTGCATCTGAGTGACGGCGTGACCTAGAGCACAAAAGAAAGTATTATGTGATTAGACTGAGATCATTCTCATTTAAAGTCATTGTGATATAATTTTAAGTTTTTAATTAGCAGCATATACTTTTGTGTCCATTGCCTCTTTTATTGTGAATACCTTTTCAGGTCTTGTCCTTCCACAGGCTTTTTGAAACTCAGCACGGATTAACAGCAAAGGGGTTTGGAGTTCACTGATCCCCCCCCTCCTTTTTTTTTTTTCTTCCAGTTGTGAATAGTAAGCGGGGGGGGGGAGCGGGAGCTGATTTCAGAATGGGTTCATCTTGTGCTGAACTCTTCATGTGGTCCATAGTGCATTCTCTACATTTTCTTCATTCTGCAATCCAATCACTTTTTTTGACTTATGAAAATGTTAGTAGTCACATCCTTTAAATTAGTGAAATTACATCAGTGTTATTAGTGGTGAAGCCACTGATTCTACTCCCTCCTTCCTTAGTTATGGTAGCTGGGATTTCAGGTGAGAGCTGTGGCATTAAACCTAGCTAGGATTGGTACCTAGATCTCCTACACCCCCATTTTACCTCACTTCACCTTTATGAGCTGGGTCTTTACTTTGAAGCTGCTTTTGTATACTGAGCTGGAAGGCAACAAGCCACACAGAAAACACCAGTCTTTTGATTAAAAAACATTAAATCACTTTTGATTTATGCAAAATTTACTGTGGTTCATAATACAACTTTATGAGCTATTGAGATTTCTGGCACCGTAAAAGGATTTTGATAATGGGCTTCAGCAGTTGTTACTTAAGGTGATGCTAAAAAGTAATGAAGGGGGAAGTAAATGCAAGGGGAGAGTTTGCTTCTCAAGTCCACAGTTCTGTTCTGTTCTATCTGGAGAGCATTACAAGGGGTAAGCAAGCTGTTTAATACAGATTCAGCATGCTCTCTGTGTGTGAAAGAGCTCACTGCAGGCCCCATATTTTCAGATGAGCATGAACTTGCTGACCACGATCCTGAGTTTTAGCTTGTTAGCTAGGTTGACTGATGAACACTCAGGACCAGACAGATAAGCCAGACACTTAATCTATCTACTGTACGTGTTCAGCCAGACTAAAGCTTTATCAACCACTACAAACTGCACTTCAAGAACATATTATATAGCTTTCCATTACTATAAATTAGTGAATTTGGAGCCTGTGGCAATTTATCAACCTCCTTCATGAGAAAAATGAAGGTATGCATGCACCTGTAAGTACTTTATTTTGTGCCCATGTGGAAGATTCGTATCTCATTATTTGTTAGCACAATTTTAAAAAATATCTCAATTTGAAATTTAAGGTAATAACCTTCTCAGATCATTTATTTAACTGAACATGTGGATATTTTCTTGCTCAGCTTTTTGCTTCCTGCTACTATGAAAAGTACAAAACCAAAAAGAGAACATTTAAAGTGCACATGTGAATCAGAATAAAATCCAGTGTTGAAATATAAAAAATAAATGATCTTTTCTTAAAGGAAACTCCCTTCCCTCCTTTTTATTTTTTAATATATTTTAGGAAGTTATTCATACATGTGTTTCACAGTGCATTTATAGATAAGGAGATCCAGTTCACCTGGTCACTGTGATACCACATACATAAAGCAGGCTTCAGATATGCTCAGGACCCCTCCTCTCCATTTTTTCCTTTTTAAGCTATTGTTTTATCTTTTTTTTTAATTTTTTTTTTTTCCTTTAGTGCCCATAGTAAGTGTGTGTTGGTGTGCAGGGACAGCATTTGGTCTCAAATATGACTACTAAATGGCTGCACAGGGTAGGTTGCTGATAAAATACAAGCAAAAGGTTGTACATGAAAACCTGGTGGAGCACAGTAAGGGTATGCAGCAATTGATTAAGTTACAGTTTATTGATAGCAAGTTCTTTCATTAGTTTCCCTTCAAATGATATTTTGTAGTTCGTTAATGATTTTCTAGTAATTAGAGAAGTCTGGGTACAGTCTGTAGGGTAAATGGCTTGCGTAGATTTGGACCAGCCTTTGTGCATTATAAACCTGTCAACAAATGTTATTTTTAGCCATGGTGTAGTGGCTAGCATTGAAGAACAGTGGAGAAGGAGGAATGATAATGGATATGGGACAAATTACACATCACAAATTAATTATATGTACCACTTGGCACAACAAACATGAATTAGGGGCATGACCATAATATATGTTTTTACTGCCAACAATTATTATCTGCTTAAGTCATGTCTTGGATGAAGAGTGGATCTTGTGATGTTACGGTAAATGTGTGGCATGTGAATAAGTGGACACCTATGGTTTTAACATATAGAGATGGAGATTAACTACTTCACTGTGGATCTACTTCAGGTGCATACAGAGGAAGATTTGGTTTCCAATGCTAACTGCAGTGACTGAGTGGGATGGTTTCCATAGGATTCAGTGGATTTTTGGACTGAGTCCCAGTTCCTGACCTCATAGTTTGCTTAGAGGTATCTGAGAACACGCAGGCCTGAACAACGAAGAGGCCAGCAATTGCTGGAGCGATTGTAAAGGGCCACTGCAAGACCCTTTGTTTACAAGTTAAATAACTTCCCCAGTGTATTCTAGTGAACTTTGGGCAGTCAGTGGTTAGCTTCCCTTAACATCAGACTGAGGAAGAGGTAGGGCCACCTCCTTCCATACGCAACAGTTTGGCTGGTTACACATGTTGCTCAGCTGTAGAAACTCTGAAGCAAAGACTGCAGCAAGTGTTGAGTTTTGGATTCATGGACTGTGGGAAAACTAGTCAGCCTTGTAGGTTTCCTCTGCTGCAATGCGACTCTTGATCACTGTAATTTTGAATGATTTCTCGGACTATGTGAACCACAAACTGACCCAAGCGTTGCTAAACAACAAGGAAGAGGAGCTGCACTTCTTCTAAGTGTGTTTCTAAGATTTGTCAGTTCTGCTTGCACTCCTCAGGCCTGAGGAAATGAACTGAAAGTGGTTTCCAGGGATATTCCACTGATAATTATGAAGAAACTCACAGCCACACCACAAAAAAAAAAAAAAAAAAAAAAAAAAAAAAAAAAGTATTTGTACTGACGAATGATGGTGATGAGGATGCAGATTAAAAATACAACACACTTTTCTTTCTTTTTTTTTTTTTTTTCAAAGCTTGTTTCAGGAAATCCTGGATTTTAGTGGGAATTGGGAATCTTTCTCCTTTGAAAAATGATGCATTTTAAGAATTTATAGTGCTGTATTTTCACAGGGCTAGATTTTTTTTTTGGTCTAGCCTGTGATGTGCTTAAGTGAAGTAATGAAATTCAGTCATTTTTTCTGCTGTAAAGATATTTCCCTGACCATTTTTATTACATAACTGTGTAAATGTTGATAGCAGGAGAATGTAGAAATATTTCTATACAAATAGATGCAATAATTATGGCTTAAGGCTATATACAGTACATGTAAGGAATTCATCATACATTTAAATACATATAGAAGCAGCTCTGGAGCTGATTTAAAAATCCACGGCAGAATGACACCAGCATACATCATCAGTATCTGGCCTTCTGAAATTCAGAGAACTCATTAAAAGTACAGTTTGTGGTGGAGGGAAGCGTAGAGTTATATAGCAAGTGAACACAGGAATGGCTGGCAAGAGAATGGTGTGCTACAGATGAACTGGATGGTGGACAGATTTGCATGTAAAACACATGGGAAAAGTCCCTTCTGTTTATTTTTTTTCACCCCCTTATTAATTTACCGCAACCACAAGCCATGTGTTCCAGTTCCTGTCTGGGAAAAGATGCTGGCTAGGCCATGTTGTGACTTAGTTGAACTAGTGATCTAAAATCAGCTGGAAAACCCCAAGAAATTCTGAATTGCTTATAAAAGAGTCAAGGAGCGCTGTCTGTAAACCACTCAGAATAGGGACAAGTCCATTCTGTGTTCAGTGTAAGCACAGCAGTGATTAGCCTGTGCCCTGCTGCAAGCAGTAATGTATAGTCATCCTGCCCCAGGGGAAATCCAGGAAACAGGCAAAGCCCTGCTTCATCTCCTCCTTTCTCTTCTTGCTTTCAAAGGAGAGAGAAGAATGTTCCTGTCCCTTACGTGACACAGATCTCCTGTGCATCAAGGATGTATGGCAGACCTGAGGTTCTCTCTAGTCCTCCCTCTGTTCCAGCTACTCGCAGAAGATCGAGCCTCTTGCCTGCCCTCAGCTATTGACTTTTGATTCTGTATCCTAGATAGAGATGTGGACATTTTTTCTGTCCTTATCCACCTACTTTGTCAGCAGATAGGAGTAGTAATAATTTTCCACATAACAAGGAAGAGTGAGAAATGAAAATTTAGAAAAAGAGGTGTTGATATTATTACTTCAAAGAAAAGCTTCCTATTTTAGGTGCTTACTTAAGAAAAAAAAAAAAAAAAAATACTAAATGTTAAAATGTATTTAAACTTTGAATTGCATATCATGTATAATTATCCATAGTCACTATTATCACATACACACATATTTTGCAGTGTTATTTTTGCTCATATTCTGGAGCTAAGACTAAAATACTTCCAAATTGATGTCTGTGATAATGTATATTTATTTATTTATTTATTTAACATGAATATGAACTTTTAAAAGTCTTTTCCTGGAGGTAAAAGTTTTGGTTTTGATTTTGAAAGTGTCAAACAGCATAAAATGCCAAAACGGAAGAGGGTTATTCTACTGTAAAAATACTCTTGGCTTAGGTGACTGCCTAGGCTGGTATAAATATATGGAATTAAATGTACCTTAATTTATTTTTTTTTTAAGAAATGGCTTAATTTTCAGGGATGTTATTCTATGTTTTCTCACACAGACCTGATGTGTACAGTAAACATGCCAATGAGACAAGCAATGAGCCCCCATTTAGGGGTTGTTTGTGTTAGACAAGTTTTCCCTCCACTTACCTGTGTCTGTGAACCTGAAGAATGAAATGTTCATGCACAAGAAAATTTAAATCTTGATTTGGAAAGTCAGTATGCAGAGAGATAGCAGCTCAGAATTATCTAGATGTGTTGGTCTGTGTTTGATCCCACATACGTGATGTAGCTCATCACTGTGCATGCCGGAACTGTGGACCATATACATCACATGCAGTACAGCATACAGCCAGAAACCTAACCTACGGCTATTTAGGGCTCATGGGAAAACCCTCGACTAGTGCTAAAATAGGAGGAACAGCCTTGTGACAAGAGCTGGCACCTTCATGACAGGCATATCCTTTCACACTGTGGTATAATGCAGTTCAGCATGCTTTGAAGGCCCAAATTGGTGGTGGTCCTGGCTTATCTTTCAGTAGATACTGATCTTTATCACAGTCATAACAAACTATTCAGCAGAGTTTGAGGGGGTGAGAGAAGCCTTTGGCTTCGTTTAGAACAACTCTGATGTGAACATTAAGATATTCTGTGCTTTGAGTGGCTGGCCTTTTTTGTGTCAAATTTTAAGATGTATATAAAATGTGGTGCTATATTAGACCTACTCTGTTGCACTGGATGGAGCAAAGAGCACATTTCAGTGAGATGCTCAAAATATCAGGCTTCTAATTCTTGTAGTTTGGATTTTGAACAAAAGGGCATTCTGTTTAATTCTTTTATAGCTTCAGCTGAGTGGCATGGATTTATGAAGTGAAAGGATGTCTGTTCTAGTATAATTTCCCAGGCATATGCAATTTTGCCTTGGTAACTTCAGATCCCCTCGATTCAGAGCTTAAGTAGGGAAAATACAGAATTTTTCAATGGTTAGAGGAAAGTGGGGCAAAGTGTTATCTCAAAAATGTGATATTTGGCTTCCAGTGGACACAGAAACTTGACACAAATCAAATGTCAAACTAGCTGATAGTAGACAGGAAGGATTAGTGTTGACACAGCAGACCTGACCCCTGCCAGCAGCGTAACTGTGTTTAAATACAGCCACATCTATCTGAAATCACCCCAGGCATATGAGCGGTAGAAATTGAAGGTGAAGATATAGGAAATGTGGTGTGATAGGACATTCTCATGCCTAATTGGGCTGACAGCTCAGTCTGGATGGAGGACAGTGTTTATTTACTCTTTGTTGTGTGATGAGCAACTAGAAAGATATGCTTGCTTTAGCTCATGCTGATATTGGTCCTAACACCGTCTGGCTCCAGCTGCAGTAAACCAGGACAATACAACACAAAAACTTCCTATTCACCATCACTTTTAAGTCTGTCCTGGCACAGATATGCAATGACCTCAGACCACAGTTGGGTCTAATAGGGAATTTATCTTCATGGAAATGTGACCTCTTGCTACCAAAAGGCTACAAAAATACAAGTAACAATGGGCAAATGAAGATAAAGGTTTATCCTGGCCGTGTTGCATTTTCCAAACAGTTCAGCCCTGCGATGAAAAACTACAGTTTGACATAGAGCGCAGTCTGAAGCTTTTAAAAATGTATCAAGGTCATGGTTGAAAGAACACATTATTGTTTTTGTTTTTATAGGTAAAAATTTCTGGATTGATTCTCTCTCCTTTGAATGATGCTGACAAGCATTCAGCATCAGTTTTCAAATCCCAGAACCCAGTATGGTCACAAGAACAGAGATTTCAGGAATTTCAATTTCTCACCAAGGAATAATTTTTTTCTCTCTTAACCATCCACACTAAGAGCTCATACTGCGTATGTGCTTTTAATCTTGACTTCAATATATTTTACTGTGGCTAGTTTTACTTACGGTTTAATAACTTCAGCCTTATTTTGCCTCAAGCTGTATTATAATGAATAAAAAGCTTTTCCTGTGATTTAGTTGAATTTATACAGCTGCCCTTGAAACAGCTGCATAACTTTTCCTACTGACTAGGAAGGAAGGCAGTTTAATCTACATAGACTAATCAGCTGAATTCTACTTCCAAATTCAGCAGTGCCAAAAAAACATGTGGAAATTAATCCAGATTCAGGAGCACACTTTCAGATATTGTACCTGATATTGGTATCTCTTAGTTAAACTGTACACACAGAAGTAGTTTAGACTGAATAGGGATCATATTTTTATATGATTCTGTGCGGTACCAAGTACAGTGTACGTCTTCAAGCTGATGAGGGCCTCTGGCACAACAGTAATGGCTAATTCATTGTTTCCGAACTTAAATAGAAAATGGTAAATAGATTTGGGAAGAAGTTTGCATCAACCATTGAGTCTCTTGCAATTGCATGCTGCTAGGTTCTTCCCACGAAGCAGGTAGCATGATCACTGCTGGAAGTCTTCCAGAGATCCAGCAGCTGCTCAATCACAATCTACAGAGAGATGTGTCAAAAGTAAATTTGCAGAGTCTGTGCAGGGGATCTGACCAGAAGGATGTGGCAAGCTCAGAATTGTATGGCTTCAAGCCTTTAACTTTGTTCATTTTATTTCTTAGATGTTGGCATCTAAAATTGAACTATAGCCAGGAGCCTACATGGATTCCAGCTGACCAGGGGGCTAGGATAATTAGTAATATGTGCTGTATGGGAACGTGTGTATAAAGTGCAGGATGGCAAATAGGAAGCAAGAGGCAAGAGGCCAGTAGGATGAAGCTTTGGGAGCACGTGGTTTGAATACAACTGTGAAACTCAAGACATATCATCAATTTGTGAAACTTATTAAAGAAGAGCTCAGCTTCATCTTAAAGCGTGGAATCCTCTCTAGAATTCAAGACACATGAGAGGAATTAACTTGTAATTCCTAGTAGTACCTGTTAATAATTATGGTTGGCCTTTCTGGCCTTAGAAGTTTTGAATTACCTAGTGTTAAACCTTTTGGAGTAAACTAGAACCCAGCACAGAACGCTGAATGTGAAAAGATATGTTTATTAATACTTCTGTGTCCTAACAAGTATGATGAAGTATATGTTTCTTACTTGTTCAGGATTAGCAAATATCAAATTAAAGTACAATGATATACATTTACTAAGAGAAGTCTTGCAAAAAAGGAAAAAAGCAGCAATAAACTCTACTCTGAGATCATACTATTAAACAGAAACATTATTAAAAGAAAGTTTTGTTTTATTTTGTTTTAAATGAGAATTGATGTTTTCCTTATTACTAGAACTATCAAACAAAGACAAACCAAAACAACAAGGACAGCAAAAGTGCATTACATTCATTTCAGTATTAAAAAGGAAAGCAAAGAAATAGCAGCAAGTCAGGTTTGATCCTAGTGTGGAGTGTGCACTCTAAAGATATTATAACATAATAAAGTTGAAGCTCCCAACCAAATGTAGATATATGGTGCAATGAGTCCTGTAGTGAACCTTTTATTCATTACAGCTCTGACGAATTTCAGATCAGTTGTCCATTCCAATATAAAGGAGGCTTAAACATAGTGTTTTTGTAATATATGTTCAGTTAAAATCCCTCCTCCCAGCTTTCCACTGCCAGAATGAGGTAAAGAACCTGGATATTTTAGAATTCATAAGCCAAGCAGTAAAATGCTACACATTTGTATCTAGCCTGATTAAGTTTTGGGAATGCACCCAGAGAAGGCTTGGCTTTGTCCGCACAGATGCTTATGGACAGACACACTAGGACTTTATTCAATGAATAGCTGTGTCTTAAACCTTGGCAAATGACATCCGTGAAAATTCATGGCAAATATAAGGCAAGAAAAACCTGACTCCAGTTGTTGTACAAAACCACTGTACAGAATGACAGCTGGGCAACCCATCCACCTGCAAACTGACAAGAGCTGAACGTTAGGAAGTTTTAAATGAAGCACTGAAGAAATCTTTGTTCGAGGCCTGCATTGAAATACCTAAATGTCCTTGATCTCCACTTGTATGGGAGAAAAAATTGAAAACCCAGCATCTCTGGGCAGAGAGAAATATATGTGCTTACTGAATAATATTGTACTAAGAAATTTCAGGGGGGAAAAAAAAAAAGCCTATGTATTAAAAAAAAAAAAAAAAATTAAAGTTTGGCAAGAGAGTTTACCATTAAAATACTCCTTCTCTAAGCTGTCTGGAAACCTCTTGAGACAGACCCTTTCCATCCCTCTCCTCCCCCCTCTACCACAACTCACCTTTCTGCAGCCATATTTTGGAATCAGAAAGTTTTTCAGATACAAAGTCTTGGACCTATTCAGAATCCCTATCTGCTTCATTTCTGAGAAGTATAGTAAAGGCAGTAATTATCATCCTTTAAATATTCTGAATTCTGTCTAACTCTGTAGTGGGTTAGAAAATGTGATCATACTAAGGCAGGAGAAAAAAAAAAAAAAAAAAAAGAAAAGGAAATTCTTACATTATTAATGGGATAGAAAATATAGCCTTTCCCGTCAGTTTTAATTCTTACTATGAATGTCCACACTGTGTTTGTGACGTTTTTAAAAGCCTGGATAGAATCACACTGAAGTGAGTGTTTGCGAAGTTAATAGAAAATTCTGGACCTTCAACTCTGATAAATGTAACTCTTGAGTGCTATGAAAAATTTCATTTTCAAGGAAGCCTTGACTTTTTATGGGAAATTTTTCCAGCTGAAAACTTTTACTGCCTCTACTATTCATTCCCCATTATGGACCAGATTTGGAAATACCTGTGAAAAACAATATATTTGGTTTCAAGGAAATCACCAGGAATGCATGGATGAAAGCATTATAATTGAGGACATCCAGATCTGTTCTTACAAAAATGCTTGATATTTACATGGTCCATTACCTACATGTGCTGAAGACCATTGCAGCCATTGAAACTAAAACTCCAAGAGAGTGAGAGTTAGCCAAGAAAGTCAGCTGCGTGTGACTTTGAGAGTCGTATCCCAAACACTTGGAATACATCTGCATTGCCTGTCAAGTTGTGCCATATTTGCAGTGTGATGGGTTTGGTCCTAGAACTGCTGAGATATAATAGCGGGGGCATGTAAAACTATTGCAGTTGCAGAAAAAGGATGTTTCAGTATCTTTGTGCAGATAATTGTTCGTGTTCAGAATTAGCAAGAGGAGTTACAAATGCCAATCAGAAAAAAAATGAGCAATTCACTTGCTCTTTTGCAGAGCATTCTCTTAAATTCTTTATGATGTTTTAAAAAGATGGGGTTGGATACAAGAAGAAAATACACATTATTCCTGAGAATATTCCTGAGCTTGTTCATTTGGAGTGACTTCTATTTAATCATTAAGGTAACTGGGTAAGAAAAATACAGAGCAGGAAGCCGAAATATTTGGGTTCAATTCCTGATTTTCCATGTGATTATGAACCGCTGTTTAGACTCAAGTTTACCTATACAATGGAAACACAGAATATGAAAACTCATGTCCCGCACTGCATCTCAACCCCAAATGATCTCTTTGTGTCTTTTTATGCTTTTTTAACTGGGAAAAAGAGTACTTCATTTCATTGTGGTCACTTGAGGTTTAATTCATTATTAAATGTTAAAAAGTTTATTGAAATTCACAATAGGAGATCTCTTGACGTTAAAAATATTTATTGATTACAGGAATCTTTAATTGGAATCCTGTGTTTCTGAAATGGATAACTGAAGAATGTTAACAGACCATTCTGGAATGCAGGTTCTCCCTTCTCATTGGAAGAGCTGTAGCCACTCTATCTTGTTCATTTCTGCAAAATGTATGAGATACATTTGTTCTAAAACGGAAATAATCCTTCCTCCATCTTTCTGCACTTTTGCTAGGTGGATTGCAGGCCTAATTTTTGAGTCTGGCTTACTATATTAAGTATTTTCTTCATGCCACTCTCGCTGTGAGCTACATTGAAATATGACTTGGTTGAATAATGAAAGCTTTGGGATCCTTGCTAAGAGCATGGCTACATTGTTATGCCGTTAGAGACAAGTTCCCAGTGAGCTGGTGTTACCTTCACAGTTCAGTGCAAATACCCTGCATATGTATTTCTTTTAGAAGAATAAAATTCACATTAATGTGATGCTTTGGATCTGTGTCTCATCAAGACTATTTACTGTGTTAGAAATATCACCTGATATAAATATATATAACTTTTGGCTCTGTTGACATTTTTTCAAGCTAGCTTGAACACTTCCATGTGGTGTTGTGTTGCACGTTACAGGCTTAGTTATATGGTCCTTTGCATGGAGCTGAAGTAAAATAGATTTTACTTCTACAATAAAGTCCCTTTCAGCAGTCTGTAAAGAAGTTGGGGAACTGTAGTTGTACATTTATGACTCTAGGTCCACGTTCATCCCATCCAACTACAAGCACTTCACTATTGTGATGAAGCTAGGAACATAATTACATAGGTCAAGTGGTCTTATGTGAATAGATGTACGTATGCTAAGGAAATCACTGTTGTGTTCTCTTGACTGTGTAGACAACGAACATTCTAAATTAATGCACTAGCCATTGATCCATGTTTCCTCTTCTTTAAATTAATCCAATTGGATTAATTTAAATTATATTCACAGTGCCAAAAAATAAAATAAAATAAAATAAATAAAATCTGAAGAGGCTGGAATGAATGTTTACATGTTAGCATTTAAACCAGTGTAACCAGAGATTCATATCCTACCTTTATATTTGTGTAACATTTTCACATGCGCAAGTCCCTTTGTAATTGTTTCAGTACTTAATAGGGTTTGTTTGATCAAATCTGGCACAAATTTGCCAGTTCTGGGTTCAGTAAGTATTGAAATATGGATCTATTTGGGCCTCTTCTCTAAACATCAGTTCTTCAAGTTTAGCTGAGTTTCTAGTAGAAGTCACCATCAGATTTCAGTTCTGTGGAAAAAGCACTTGTTATAAATCTCA